ATCGAGAAGAGAATTTCTGGAACATGGTTTTTGGGACCTCTAGGCTGTTTCCAGTATCTTGGTTTATTAGTTCCTTATATTCATTAATTCTGATTAAATGACGATCACTGTATTCTTGATGCCAAGTCATTGGTGATTCAACTCTGCTACATCAATACTAAATAAATTTACAGGCGTTTCCTCCAAAATGTATCTAAATAATGATTTTGAAATAACCAAAGACTGTAGTCACCATGTGACTGCTTATAGAAAAAGAGCTATGCTTACTTCAAAATGACAACACAATTCTCATCATCCAAGCTTTTTTTCCCCTGGCATTTCTGCAAAGTGAGAGAAAAGCTTGTTCATTGCCCTTCTGTCCTTTGTAGAAACTCAAACCTTTTCCCTAAGTATGAATTTTCCCATTGAGACCCACCCAGTTGAACAGTTATTGGACAGAGTCAACACCTGATTAGAAGAATATAAATGTGCTTTGTTACACTGAGGGAACACTTGTAACTTGAGATTATTTTGTTCTTTCCTCTATTAATTACAACTATAAACAGAATGCTTCACTAAAACAGTTATAGATAATTACAGCACAAGCAGTCTTATTTCAGGGGTCTTCATTTCATAATTTTAAAAAATTAGAAAATTGTCTTGACTTTGTACGTGTGTGTGTGTGTGTGTGTGTGTGTGTGTGTGTGTATGCCAATGAAGTGATATTTATGGAAAACTGGTTTTTGGGAAATTGTAATAGATTTTGTTTAGGGATACAAGCTCTTAGAACAGAAGTTTCAAACTGGTAGCAGATGAGCTGAAATAGACTCGCAGAACCTGGTTTTATTTGTCCTGCATGGTGCTTTATTGTTGTTGTTGTTGTTGTTAACCTCTAAAAATCAAGATATTTCACATGGAAATCCAGATTTCCAGCTTCTCCTGAAAAATCAGGAGACACCATAAGAAATTATGTGCAGTTCAAACACTGGTGACGCTATGATTTTAAACTGCAAATGGCAACAATTTAAAGGTTTCCATCCTTTCATTTTGATGTTTCTCTTCCGTATCAAATGTGTGAGGTGCAAGCACTGAAGTGGTACCCAGTATGCTCCCTGGCTTAATGGGGTGTTACATGCCATCTTATTCCACCATAATTTCCCCCCAATTTCTATGTTATATCCATTTTCCTTCATGAAGCTTTTCACATTCAGGCGTATTTTCTTCCTCTCCTTGTTATGACTTTTATCCAGGTCCTGTGTTTCTCACTTCAGGGCTACTGAAAGCGCTGCTGTCTTAGCCCTCACCATCCCCTTTGCCTTAACCTTTCTTCTGCCTGCCCCATCCCACTCTGCAAACTACAATAGTTATAAATTTATATGCCCAAGTAACGCTTCCATATATTCCTCCCTGCCCTCAGACCTGCAGTGACAGTTCAGAGCCCGTGCCCAGTTACTTTACTTAGAGTTGGAACTCAGCTCGTCCCACCCATTGTGTGTCAATCCATATGCAAGTAACTAGTTATTATGCCCGTGTCCATAGCACCTATGCCAGCCCCTTCCGGTCTCTGATGACTTTCCTCCCGGCGTTCTCTCCTCCTCTCCACCTGGGCAAATAGATCGTGACCACCTTCAAGACTGGCCTTTCTAGACCACCTCAGTCCACGGTTGCACAATACAGCTCATCTTGCCTGGTGCATGTATGCAAATAACATTTTGTTTCCGTCTTAAAACAGGGTTTCTCCATGTATGGTCCCTGGATGTCTTACTTCAGAATCACTCAGCTTGCTCTATTGCATTTATTCCTGGGCTCCACCTTATGTCCTCCTGAATTCAGGAAGTTGGGACCCAGGAATCTGATACATCTAAAATGTGAGAAGTCTGGAGTTTAAAGGCAACATGCATGACTCATAGTGATACAAGGTTGCCTGATGCTTTGATAAAAGGTGCAATAGGATGCAATTAAACACATGAGTGCATTTTCAGGTCTGCCATTGTGTTCCTCAAACACTGTTTACCCTAATTGTTGGTAATAGCTCTGGGTGTGGCTTTAACTGGCTCTTTGACACCATCCCTGAGGCCATCAAGCCTATGACCCATCGGAGGGAAAGTGGAAGGTAAATAAGAGCCTCACCTTCTAGGCAAAAGTAAGACAATTAGATCATAAGCTTCTTGAGTGCAGAACCCTGTATTTTTTTTTCTTTTTAAATTGTTCTCTGCCCTCTTATGCCTTGTCTCCAGTAATGCCATGATTAATAAATGTTGAATCGCATTGGATAAATTGAATGAACGAATGTTTGAAGATGAAAATTAGAAAGCACCTCAGTCCTCAGGTTGACAAGGATGGTGATGACTCTTGTTGGTCGCCTGCTCACTCTGGGGTCAGGTGCTGTGTTCAGTGATTTTTTTGTAGACCACCCCTGCGAGTGCTTGCTCCAACCCTAATAAGGCATGGCTATGATTCCCTGTTTTAACAATGGGGAGATTCCGCTAGAGTGGCAGAGGGAGGCAAGAGACATTGTGATATGAGAAGCAACCACTTTTGTTATTTATGAAAACTTTTTTGAATAACTGTAAACCACTTATTTCACTTTTTTTAAAAGGGGGTGATAAATGAAAAATACTGATTAATAACCATTAGAGAAATCACTTTGATAAGTTGGTTTAAGGCAAAGAACAAAATTTGGAACTAGAAGAACTGGATTCAAGATTCAATTTGCCACTTAACAGCTCTGCAAATTTAAGCAAAATCCAAAGTCTCTTTAAACCTTAGTCCTTCAATCTATAAAATGGGGACATATCAAGTTGTTGTAGGGACCAAATGAAAAATGTATGTGAAATGATATAAAAATTGAGAGTGTTGTTAATGATTGCTCAAATGTGAACCAAGATCTCAAAAAACATAACTATTTTACTTTGAATCATGGTTTAAATAGGGGGAAAAATACAGAAATAATGAAATCTCATCTCCATAATCACACAAAGAAGGCATTATTGTCCCCAGCTAAGGACTCTGAGGCTCGGAGAGATTCTGTTGAATTCCGTAGTCACAGCACACTAGTTAAACAGCCGAACTGAGATTTGAAAAGCACACCTGCCTGACTGCAAATGCTCAGGTCTTTCCAATGCACAGTTTGCCTTAAAAAAACAAACAAACAAACAAACAAAACCCAACACATATACTTTGTCTTAACATTAAAAAGCAGATTTATGTTTGAAAACTAACTCATTCTGATAATCCCCAATTAAGATGTTGTCATCTAGAATCTGGCTCAATTTCCTTTTATGAAATATAGTAAACATAATTTGAGTGTAGCCTAAATAAAGTATCCAAATGGGATAAAACATCACCTGGGAAATTAGATTCTATAGATTACAAGAATTCAGTCCCTAAATTGTACTTAATGGAAGCAACTTTTTCAAAAGAAAATTCCTCAGGAAACAGTTGACTGGCCTATCAATTTCATCATTATTTCTATGTGAGGCATCAATAGCATGGAATGATCAAAGCAACAATAAATAATATAAACTTCACTTAAGTAGAGAAGAACACCTCTGTCTTAATGGATTTGGGGTTTGTAAGAAAAGCAAAGGGAAATCTTTGACCAAAGTTCAATTTTTTACTTCCGCCTTGTTTTTTAAAATGTTCTATTTAAATTGTTCTTAATAAAGAGAAGTCAGAGAATTTTCTCTCGCCCTGTGGCTTTTTGAAGGAAATGATTCTAAGAATGCTTCATGTCTGCACCAACTTTTGTCTTGAAATAGTGTCTCTAGTGGAGATGAGCTCAAGCGATTAATTTGGCTACTGGGGCTTGGGGCAGAAGAAAGGATCTTTTTTAGAAAAGCGAACATTTGTACAATGAGGGTGGAGATAGGACAGGATAAAGGATGAGAGTGGATGGGAGGGTGTGAATGAACATGGAGGTGCTGGTTTAAACACTGTAGGAAAACTTCTGAGCACAGATTGTACCCTGACAAGGAACTTACACATCTTTCCTTTAAAGCATTGTGTAAGGTCGTGGTTAAATTCATATGTTGTGGAGTCACACACTCTGGGGTCACATCCCGCTCTGTCATGATACCTAATCTTGTAATTTTAGGCCTTTTACTTAACTCTGTGACTTTGCCTTCTCGTCTGAAAATTCAGAATAATTACTGTTTCATAAGGTTGTTATGATGATTCAGCATAATCATCAATACGCATTGTGAATGTAGTTGATATTGTTATCATTCTGGAGTTCTAGGACTTACTTGACATATATATTAAAGTTTCCTATGACCTTATAAAACAATTTTGAGGAATAGCAACTACATAAGAGCTGTTTCTTTACAATTGAATAAATACATGAAATGGTGTAAAAGACACAGACACCTAATTTAGATAAAATATCAAGTCAGTTTCCTTTAAGAAACATTTAAGGTGTTCAAAAGTGAAAAGATTATAAAACCAAACCTTCTAGTAAATAATCATGAGTTGATACATAGTTTCAAAATAGCACAAATTTATACTCATCATAGGAGACCATATCGATTTGTGTATTTCAAGTAACCGTCTTACGCACGCCGTGCCTCTGGCTGACAGCATTCTCCCCTGGGAAGGTGGCTTCTCTAACTGCAGTGAATGGCGATTCTATTTGTAGACATTACTTCCTACAGCATGCATTCCCCTCTGTGATTGTTATTTAAAAAATACTTGTCCTCACATTATTTAGTCTCCTTGGCTAAAGGAGAAAATTCTACAGCACAACAAGAACTTCACAGATAATATGTATCTGAGCTGAAAATATATATTCTCATAACAACAAAATAATTTGTGTTTACTGCCACATGGGGAATACAAAAAGCATTTCAGTACAAAAGATCTTCAAACTACTCCTTAGGCCAAGAGAAGGAAAAGAAAAAAAAATCAAAAGTATTAATATTATTTGAATTGCTGGGACATTTTCCCTCTTCCCACACTATCTCTTACTTACCATAAAAACATAATGTTCACATTGACAGAAAACCCACAGCAAGAGGACTTACCTTCCTTCAACCAAGAAGTGTTATTTTTATCATTTTCAAAATGCTCAGCTGTTTTTACTTTTATCTTTTCCAGCTCAGTTTCTGACATCTAAGTGGAAACAGAATTTGTGGTATAAAAAATTCATTAAGCCCGAATTTATAACATTGAGCTTTATATTTAGAGACTACTGCCATATTATAGGGAAATGTTTTCTCAATAGTTTTGCAGTTCACTCTCTAATGTTAAATCTTACATTTTATCCATTTGTAGTATTTTAAAACATTAACATTGAAAACTAAACTTTCTAATAGTTCATTTTTCAGCATTAAAGATTGCAATAAGATTTTATAATTTATGAATATGAAAGAACAACAGATTAACACTTAGTCACAGACTTGTAAAAACACAAACATTCAGTTGCTGTTTTAATGTTTTTTTAATAGTTTATAGAAAAGCGTTCAGCGAAGTGACATACAAACCTGTAAATAATAATAAAACACAAAAGGACCTTTTCGGCAACTTATTGGGTCTAATAAGAACCTTTTGGCTGAAGACAGGCCCAGTAGAGCTTCCTGAAGTTGTTGAGGAGACCTCTCATGCACCTTCACTGCACTGCACTTCACTTTCATTGCTTGCTCTAAGGCTAGGACCCTCCACTTGAATCAGCACCTCAATATATTTACCTGTGTGTTGCAAAAGGAGGAGACCCGGGTGTGGGGCGGGGGAGCAGCTTGCCGATGCACCGGGCAGCCTTCCTGGTTGTCTCTCGATGTCCAGCATCCCTCTGCCCTGCCAGAAGTGAGCACGAGCAAACACACTCCCTCCCTGGGTGGTGCTAGATTTGTAGAGCTGCCAACAGCATCCTACTTGCGGCTGAGAGGTTTTTTTGTTTTATTTTTTTAAGGTAATATAAAGCCTGTGGTTCAAAACAATAAAAACCTTCTCCAGGCTAGCACTTATTTAAAATGACACTGTGCAAAATCAGATAAAAATAATGAACTCTTTTCAAATTGATAGAGTTTCTTCAGTCCCCTTCCTTTCACACCGGCCATTCATCACTTAGGGTTAATATTAAAGGATATTGAAAAATATACATAGACTATTTGGATTAAAATAAAAAAAGAGAAACCTCTAAAGCTTTATTCTCTGGAAGTTCATCCTGCAGCTGACATTTTGAAAAGCAAGGTTTTCTAACATTTTATAAGAAACATAAAAACATATCACGTTCCCTTGAGAGTCTGCAGATATTCCAAAAAGGATTTGAAATAACATTTAAAACAGGATCTGCCATTAGATTCTTAGTCGGAGAATACCGTTTTCAACAGAAGGTTAACAACAGAAAGCATAACCCTTAGGTATGCCTGATGATACATAGTCCAACATTTCTAAATGTTGTCATTGTTTTCATCATGGAATATGATCTTTATTTTTTGGCCCAAAGTGGTTACCTGATCTCCTTGTATCTATTTCACTTTCTTTCCCAACTTCATTTCTTGTACTTTGCTCCCAGTTTCATTGTTTTTAAAAACTACTTTGATAAGCCAAATTTCACTCTTAGATAACTTTCAGTTTCTCCTATTATCAAGAAGATAAATTTCAGATTCCTTAGACAGCTATGGGAGACCTTGAATAGATGGATTCTGTAACATAATTTACAAATTGTGGCTTAAGGTCTTCAGGTTTCTCTGAGGTACCTACCCTTTTACTCCAACTTAACTGCAATGCTGCCGTTCCTTGAACTTACTTGCTTCTATTATTAACATTCCAGAAATGTTTCCTCAAAACCCCATCCCCATCCCCACCTTGAAGCCTTCTGGATCTCTTTCCTCTGGAAATGATCATTTCTTTCTTTGATCACACTTGGGACTTCCGGCATAATGTTCTCCATCCCGGTCTTATGTAAGCCTATCTTGTCTTCCTAAAAAAGACTATAAAACCCCTGAGGGCTCAGCCTCTATCTCAGCATTTTATGCGTTTTGCTGCGGTGTGTGACAATTTTACATACAGATTAATAATGGATGGATAAACAAAACCAGAATATCAAAGATCAATGGTGTCCTGTATCCCAAAGTGGTAAGATACATCTGATTACCTGAAGTTCCTTTAGGAAGTGACTAGCAAAGAGTTGATTGTGTCAGACAAAGTCACCTTCCTTCAGGGATGGCAGGTGTCTATCAGGCAGATTACCTCACCAGTGTTGACCAGGGAATTTCAGATTGACTGGGTTAAATTCCAGGCCTGGAGAGGTTAAAACTGTAATTGAGTTAGGTTTTAAGTCCTGGTTTGGTGATGTGAGCTTAGCACCAGTGACTCCATTTGGGGCCTCTAGTTTAGTGGAGTGTATGACATTACTTGAATTTTCTATATGGAATTTTCTTTCATTTTGAAGAAAACTACTTATTTGAAATTAGACAACTCATTTTTTAATTCTATTCCTCTCTTTATGAGTATTAACAGTCATTCTGCATGAGACCTGTAGACGTTAAAAAACACTGTAGTCATTTTTTCCCCATCTACTTCACCAATAAAGATGATAAGAATAGGCACCAAGTTCTTTTTCCTGAATTAACTGTATATCACTGGTGCCTCTATTGGACATTGCATTAGGTGTATTTTATACTAATGCCAAGCTTTAAACCACTTATGCATCCACCTAGAGATGTATTTGGGCCACAAAATTCTCCATCTGTGTGATGGAATCTGCTTTGAACTGGGATTTTAGTCTTTTGAGCTAGACTGGGGATTGGGGTGAAAGAGACAAATCACAGTTGATGGCAGGAAGTAAAGAGAAACCAAATCTGATGAACCCTAGGCAGAACAGACTGAGACACAATAGATGGTCCAAAATAAGCTCAAAAGTGACAAGCCAGCCTCAGAAGTCAGGCTGGTTTGATTAGAAACCAGGGAGAATAAAAACATTTTTAAAAGAATCCCCTGTCTTTTAAAGACCCTGTTTTTGGTACCCATTGTACCCATTTAAAATAATGAACTAAACAATTCCGACCCAGGGATGTGGTCTCAAGGCTCAAGTTTTCTTTATAAATTCTGTTTTTATTTTATTTTCTAAGTGGAGATAGTTTGAATGTGCTCTTATTTTATAACCATATTTTTTTTTGACTCATGCATCAATATTTCTAGTTCCTAGTCAAAATCTGATCCAGAGACAGAATCTTTAAGGTCGAACTGTTCAGCAGAAGGCAGTCTTTGCCAAGAGAAAAACTTGCACGATATTCATACATTTCATGTTCTTGTTTCTGTTAAAATAAAATTGAGTACGTGAAGCTAGAGACTTCTTTAAGAAACAAATAATCATGTACTATCACATTAGTCTTTTGATTATCTTCAGAATCATCACATTGTCACTTGCCATTGTTTGTGAAACAATAAAATGACATGTATAATGTAAAAGTATGATTATCAGTCAATATGCAGAGAAGTCACCAATCAGATTATTGGACTATAATTTGTAGAGTAGGGCTTTCTGAAGGACTAGTGGATTGGATCCAAATGGAAATGGTATAGAAAGGTGTACTACTCCTTTGAAAGTATGTTTTCTGCTACAGAATGGAAGCTCTATATTACTTAATGTAGTTAATTAATTATTCTAATGACTAATATATGCCATCAAATATTTTACACTTAAATAATTATTTTGGTGAGTTTGTGGCTTTGATATAAAAATACACATGGAGTAAATAAACATTGGCCCAAAGTATCAAAGGCAATGGTAAATAAAACAAGAGGAAAATTTCACATTTTCAACACAGGCTTTCCCAGAAGAAGGTTACAGCTAACCTCACAAGGCATACCAATTAGAGGATTTGCTAGATGTTAGATCTCATCAAAAGTTCAGTTTTAAGAAATAACACTCAGGGATATAAAATGCATTAAGTTTTATCATTGTTTCATGCCCAGATCATTGAAAAAAAAAGCTGTTTACTTTGAATAAATTATTTTTACACCTCATAAAGCTGCTTTTACTGACTTAGACCTTGGTTAGCATTTAAAAAAAATATATAAGAATAAATATGTAAATGACACTTGATGGTAAGTTTATTATGAAGATTTTTGGTTCCTCAGGATTACATTATACATCCTTAAATTAATACAGTCCACTTAGTGTAAATATTATTACACTTCATGTAAAATGTAATTACTTTATAACTGTGTAATTCTATTTATGTGCTCTTTACTTTGTATTATTATTTTCACATATTGTACACATAAAAATTTTATAATCTGACAGGCTCTGTGTGTGTGTGTGTGTGTGTGTGTGTGTGTGTGTGTTTAAACAGTCAGTTGTTTGTTAAAGAAATTAGGAGAAGAAAAAAGTTATATTTTTTTAATGTTTATTCCCATACTTGCCATTTCTGGTTCTTTTCTATTCCTTTTAGAAGACCTGTATTTTCATTTGATTTCATTATTTTTAACCCAAAAATCTTTCTTTACCATTTCTTGAAGTTCATTTCTGCTGATTACAAACTCTTTCATCTTTTATTTATCTAAAAATGTCTTCACGCTCATTTGTAAAGGACATTTATGCTGTATATAGAATTCTTGATTGCCAGTTTTCTTCCTTCCTTCCTTCCTTCTTTCATTCCTTTTTATTTTGACATAATTCCTATAATTTCCCCCCTATATCTAACATGACTTTTTCCCCTCTCTGGTCACTTTAATTTTTTCTCCCTTTTGTTTTCTGCACCTTAACTACGCTGTGTTTGGATGTAGTTTTTTCTTTGTACTTTTTTCTGCTTTGGTTTTGATGAGATTATGGGCTCTGCAAGTTGATATTTTTTACCAAATTCAGGACATTTGGGGCCATTAATTCTTCAAATATTTTTTCTCCTCCCTTTTTTCTCTTCTTTAACTTTATCATTCCAATGACCCATATGTGAACCCGCTTAATATTGTCACATTAGAGGCTCTGCCTATGTTTTCCCAGCCTCTTCTGTCTATTCTTCAATTGAGTAATTTCTGTAAATTTCAATGTCACCAACCCTTTCTTCTATAGTCTCCAATCTATTATTAAAGCAATCTTGTATATTTTTTTTATTTTACATTACAGTTCCAGGTTTTACATTACATTTGGTTCTTCCTAATAGTTCCTACTTCTTTGCTTATAATACCTATCTCTCATTTACCATCACCATCTTTTGCTTTAATTTCTTGATCATATTTATTATAGCTAGTTTAAAGTCATTATCTAACACCTGGATCTTCTATTGACTGCTTGCTTTCTTGGTTGAGTTACATTTTCTTTGTTCTTCAAATATTTAATAATTTTTATTGTATACTGGACATTTTGGATGATACATTGTAAAGAATCTGGACTATGCTGCATTCTTTTAAAGGGTGTTTTTCTTTTTCTGTTTAGCAAACAGTTTAATTACTGGTACATCTTTTGGATCCTGTCAGACTTGGTTTGTTTTGTTGGGGTTGGGCCAATTTTAGTTTTTCTCTTAGTTTTACAATGTAGCTTATACTAAAGGCTCTGGTTATTATGGACAAGGCATATCCTTTCTTAGGTCTCAACCACAAGTCCAAGGTTCTCAGTGAGATATCTCTACTGTGGTTGGACCAGAGTGTCTTCTACAGCTGTGCTGACTGTGGTGCCTGCATTCAGTGCTCAGGCCCAAAAAAACTACTTTTTTGCAAGGTATTTCAAGTCTCAACCTATGCGTGCACAGCCTAGCCCTTAGCCCAGAATACCTGGGGTGAATTCTGCCCTTCCCTACCTTGTGCAGCTCCCTCTTTTCCAGAACCCTGCACTGAAAATTCTAGCCACTTTTACAGCCCAAACTCATCTTTGCCTCTTCCACTCAACAGTCTTCCACTCTACTTGGGCTCCACCTGCTTGCAGTGTGGTAGGGAAAGGGTTACCATGTCAAGAGCCAGAGTGAATGTATAGCTCATCTTTCTGTTTCCTACTCTCAAGAATTACAGTGCTGTTCTGCCTGCTGTGCAATGCTTGAAAATAGTTTCTTCATTTGTTTTGCCTAGTTTTATGACTATATATAAAGAGATACAAGTCCAGCATCACTTATTCTGTTGTGACCAAAAGTAGAAAGAATTTTAAAAATTCCTTTCCCCCATCCTTCCAATCAGGATAGTGTTCTTCCAGCAAGACCTGGTGCAGGGAAGATGAGCCTAGAACAAAAGGTGGCTCATCCTTGAGAGTCATATTTCACTTTAAGTTCACAGAAGAATCAGTAGTTTTGGTACTTTTTAATAAGTACCAAAGAATTGAGATCACATTTAAATCATAAATCATATATTAGTTAAGAATACAAAATTGTTTAAAAGCAATGTTTGAACTAATTACCCCACCAAATTAAATTTTGACAAGTGAGGAGGAAGGGAATTTGAGGGGGATGTTTGACAATGGTTTAGATGCTAGATGTTCATTAAAAAGGAACTTGGTGCATTAGAATCATAGAAAGATTGGGAGAATAGGATGCCCAGATAATCTGCGGAATACTAGAGAGGAATAGACTTTTGCCTAGTTTCCTATCAATACATTACTGGTTTTCAAGACTTAGAGATAATCTCTGCATCCAACATGACATCTAAGTATCAATAGCAGATGGTAAAACTAAGTGGAAAGACTTGAGTATTTCCATAAGATGATATATTAGGAGGGCACCTGGGGAGAATCACAAACTTTCTTTAAGTTTGAGAGAAGCACTGAGGGTCAGCAAACAAGAACAAGATTCTTTGTCACAAAAAGAGATGCCGTTAGTAGAAGCTGCATAGACAATACAAGCTAGAGGCAATGGAGGGGTTGTTGACTTTGGGAAAAGAAACACTGGGAAGAGAGATGATCCTCAAAGGGTGGCAGAAAGTGTTCTCCCTAAGTGAAGACCAGCGCTGACAGAAGATTATCATGTA